TTGCATTTACATGTTAACTCGAGTGTTGTGCATAGTTCCTGACATGCTAGTTCAGTCTATTTGAAACATATGTTGCAAAGCAACTATCCCACATGTGTGTGTGTGTGTGTTGCTTGTCTAAGGTGGCTCCATCATCGCCAATATCAACTATTGAAATTCAAGTAAGGGAACAATATCCAGATAAAAAAGCTTCCGAGTTCAAACCAAATTCAAGTTTACTCGTTTGCAGTTTCTTGTGCATTTCAAAAAGCAACTGGAGAAGATAGCTATTGTCATGGCCAAATGAGTTTGGAATCAAACTCAATTTTGAAAGGGTTATTGTCCTTATCAAACTTTATACGGATTGAACCAAACAAGAACTGAGCCAAGCCAATGACAGGAACGTGTTTTCAATCATAGATCCTACTATTTGCATAAATGCTGCAAAACGCAGTGTGTTTCAGCATTTGGTCAGATGTTGCCCTGGATCGAACATCGAATGTACAAGATTCCACAAACATATGTTTAGAATATACTCAATCCTGGTCCCCCAAAAACTTGACAGTTTGTTCTAGACTCATTAAAGTTTCGCCCTCTGCATTGAAGATTGAAGATCTACCAGATTTTCGATTTGAGAATCTTCCATCCGGGCCAGCCCTCAAGTCCACACAAAAACTGTAAAGGTGTCAGCAACATTTTTCTCCCTGGCCAATTGCAGGCAGTGCAAGTGCACATCCACATTTTGATTCTGACAGCGTGCGCTCCCAGTCTGCCTTTTGGATTCTTCAAATCCGCACTTAAGGCAATCCAGGATCTGGATGGGAAATTGAAGATTCTCTAACAACTCTCTCTGAAATTCTCCAAATATGTACTTAGAGTAATCCAGGATGTGCTAGCACGTGCTGGCACATCATGGATTGAAGATTGAAGATTGAAGATTCTCAGACCACTTGTTCTGGAAATCTTCAATCCGTCCTGAGGACAAACTGGTATGTGCTAGCACATCCTGGATTGAAGATTGAAGATTGAAGAATCCCAGAGACAGTTGTCAGAGAATCTTCAATCTTCAATCCAGGATGTGCTAGCACGTGCTAGCACATATCAGTTAGTCCTAAGGACGGATTGAAGATTTCCAGAACAGGATGTGCTAGCACGCGCTAGCACATCCTGGGTTGGACTACGTACCGATGCTGGAATTTAAGTCTAAAAAAACATTTTTTAGAGCCTCATGTTAGATTCTGGAACGTGTGTGTTGCATGCATGTTTTCAGCCAAAATGTCAATTTCTGACCAAAAACCTGAGTATTTCCGGGCGTGCCTGGTTTTGTAGGTAACCAAGGGCTTTCCAACTATTAAACAATCAAGCGGACAAATGTTGGGTACCTGCTAAAGTGGCCTGCCTGCAATACACAGAGAATAATAACATTCCGAAAGTTTGGTCGCCGATTCCAGAGGGAAGCCCCATCAAATAAGTCCAGGCAGCGGAACTTCTGGAACCAGCTTGGGAAAAGGAAGGAGAATGCGTTCTTTGATTTTGCGAATCTCGGAGCAAAAACGGTTGTGTAATGTTGAAGGAAATCTCAGCCCCGCACAAATGGTTCGTTGGTTTAGGGGATCCCTGCAAAAAGGCTGGCTCACTTTGAAGGACAGAGCCCCAAAAAAGCAGCCCAAAGGTCAAGCAAATCATGGGAATCCTGGGAGAGAGTTGGTGTGGATTGGCTCAGGTCCAGTTCATAGATCCTGCATAGCTTTGGTCAAGCCCAAGGAATAGAATCCTAGGCCCAAATCCGCTCCCAAATTCCTGTGAGAAAAGGGGGGGGAAGTGGGAGCGGAGGCAAACTCGTAAGCTCAAAGGAATCCGGAGTTCCTTCTATCTCTCTCCGTATACATATATATATATATCTATATATATATATATTATATTTGTATTTATTTACATATACCTGAACCCTCCAAAAGTACTGAAATTTCCGTACATGCAGAAAAAGCGTCAATGTACACTTTTGAGGAAATTTGACGGAAACCGCTTTGAGCAGGCTGTGAGCGTGTGGGGCACATGGATGCACATGAACACAGTTTGCAATTTACATGGCCCGTCATACTTAATTCCGTTTCAGGTTATTGCTGTGGGGCGACATGTGACAGCTTCCTTGCCGCTTTTGTGAGCTTGCAGTTTTCTCAGCCAAAATGTAGAAACAGGAAATGCACGGAAATCGGCGGGAAATGCACGGAAATCGGCGGGAAAGTACGGAAAAAGTACGGAAATGCAGCGGAACGTTTGCTAAACCAAATGCGCACCTTTTCTCCTTGGTGAATTGCATATACCTTCAAATAGTTTTGCTTGGCCCACGAGCATGACAATCGCCAGTGCCAGCGCCGGAGCTGAACGTGAGATTCTTGTAGAAAAAGTCGTTGAATGCTCCTGTGTCTTGCGTTGAGCCTGCAAGAAAAGTGCAGTTTTTGCTCAAATGTATGGATTTCAAGGAAATGCGCGGATTTTGCCGACAGTCGCAAAAAAAGTGCCCTTGGTTGGTCCAGGTATGTGTACTTGTATGTAATCTAATATTACATATATATATATATATACATTATACAATTGTGTAAGTATGTCCCCCTTTGACATCACATCAAAACAACGGAACAGTTCCGCGTCTAGTTCGTGCTTGCCCAGCAATACCCTTTGCCAGTTACTGGGAATGCTAGACCATGGGTGAAAAGGCTCGGACAAACCAAGGAGAAGCGGCCACAAGACGCCGCCCAAAAGGGCTCGATGCTTCAACGAGAAAGACTATCCAAGCGGCTCCTTTCGACTCAAACGCGGGTGTGGGTCGAGGGACCTCTGGAAGGCCCGAGGCCCGGAAATGCGAAGTGCGTTTGCAACAAGAGCCGATGGGCCATGTACGCAGCGCATGGGCCCAAAACGAGTCAAACTTCAGGCCGAGTAGCCATTCTGGGCAGATGGGTTGGTCATTTGCCCGGATCAGAGTTGGTCACACTGTTTAAGCAAAGGGCATACACTGCCCTTAGCCCCAATACACACTTCCTGGAAATTAGATGGCCAAAAAAAACTCCAAACTTGGTTTGTTTGCCGCTAAAATGGGTCCCAACCCCAAACAGTGACTACAGCCCGAAACGAAACTCAGGAAGTGAGTTAAGAGGCCTACAGCCTCCGGACATCTCCAAAGACCCGCCATGGACCGAACGGGGCCCGCGCGAACTCTTCGAGCCCCATGTCCGAAATGAACTGGAGCCGGTCCGACTTGTCTTTCTCCTGGTCCGCAAACCCTAGCCAGTTGCGCGTGGGGTCAAAACTAGCTACCAAAAACGGGTTGCGCTGGTAAATGGCAACATGGACTAAAGCCTGCGATCCCCTTGTGGTTGAAACTTGAGCCATGCCCATTTCGAAGGTTCAAGAGAAACCCTCTTGGCAGACATGGAAGTCCACAACTTGCGGCCGGTTTGATAGGCAGGGAATGAGAAATGGAATGACCCCGAGATAAACCATCTCCTATGGTTTCATTCCCAACACCCTGGGTCATTCCCTACTGACCACCGGCAAGAAAACTGGGCTGGGGTTGAACCGCAGAAAACCTCGTTAACATCTCTGTGTTTCCGGTAGTGTAACCACCAGAAAAGCACCCGATTCTCTGTTTGAGCCTCGGAACCCTGTGAAAAACTGGTCTCACAAGTGCAGTAAGAAGTTGACCACATTGCGATGTGCAATGTTGCAGCACTATAAAAAGTGCCCCCACACCTTCATTCAAGCCTTCCTTTCAGTCTCACTTTTGACACCCAAAGAACGTCAAAAGTACGTTTCGGACATCCTCAAGTTGGCTTAAGACTTTGATGCTTGGGCCTAAGACTGGTACCCGATGAAACCATGCGTCATGCTTATATCCATCTACCAGTATTTTGTGTGGGCACATGTTCGCGGTCAAGATGGACTGTCAGAGGCCCCGAACCTGGACATAGTGAGATGAAGGCAGTTGGTTGACGTTGGAAGGGCAGCAAACACTTAAACGTTAGCGGTGAAGTGGTTGGATTTCAACCACTAAACCACAATAAGCAAACATGTAAAATGTTTCCCAACAACAACCATGGTGAGGCATGTGAGTGTGTTTCCCAACATGGGACCCTTTGTAGGAACTTCCCTTACGCAAATGTGACAAACCCTCAGACGCACGGCGAGCCCAAGCAAACGTGGGGGGGGATTGGCGCCGCTTTCGCTTGACCAGCTGAAACCGGGGCCAGGAAAGAGGCGTGAGTCAGGGTTGCAAAACGACCCGATCCGGGCAGAATGTTGGCTGGAAAAAAGAAAATGAACCTTCCTGAACCCTCACGATTCCAGCTTAGGAATGGGGTTATCGCCCCACAATGAGATGAATTCCTTTTTTTTGGGAGCAGTTTGAGGGTCCAAGTTGAGCAACTCTCTACCTCGAGGGCTTGGCCACCTTAAGGGCTGTGAGCGAGGGGTTCGCGGAGCACTTTCTAGAGCTGCGTTCTATTGGGTCGATTTCCTGATCAAGGAACCAGACCGTTGGCTCTGGTTCTGAACGCTGCGTCCGCTTCTGAGTAGTTTACCGGTAATCCAGTAGATAGGTTAGAATAAGGGTACCCTTTTTTCTGCAGTCTGTTTTACTACAAAAACCCTCCCCCAAAAAAGGGGTGAGAAAGGGCACTGCTAGAAAGTGTTCGGGTGAGCGACTGCCGGCTTTTCTTCCTCGCCAAGAAAGACATTACCGCCACCGGGCGCCTTGGGCGTCTTTGGGGCGGATTTGCTCACCCCAAGGAACCTGGGGATATGCTGATCAGTTCGTCTTCGACGCACGGTCAAAAAGGGTCGGCATTTGCCAACTCAGTTTGCTCAATGCCGAGAACCGGCAAGCCATGTTAAATATTCATTGTGTCCACTATGGAATTGGAATATTGACCGTGGCACATTCAGGGCTCTTACTCCTTTTTCCCCTTCGAACTAAACATCACCCCACCAAAAAGACACTTCCTTAAACTTGGCCAAAATAGGTGATGGTTTCAACCACCAAAGAGGAACTGCCCCAGGACTGTCGTGTGTCTGTCCACCCTTCCAAGGGGCCCTGCAAAGGCTAAGGCGGGGCAACATCGGCTACCCGAAGAGGAAGCGGATGCCTTCGATGGTGTCCTCGCCATAGAAAGCGCCCCCACGAAATTGTTAAGAACAAAACATTCACGACTCCGAATTTGGTACATGAAGCAAAGGTACAAGCAGTGCCCAAGACCTATGTCGGTTCTATCGACATGGCAAGGTGATGGGGGTCTTTTCCTCTGGAGGTCCTCTGAAAGACGCAGGCTTTTATGGCCCCGCAGGCTGTTACAGCCTGCAGTTCTGGTGGAAGATCAGACTTCAAACACCGGCGGATTTCTGTTTTTTGCTGCAGCCCTTCGCCGTTTCGCCGTCTCGGTTTGCAGCGGACTCGGCGGAGAACGAGCCGTCGCTCTTACATCGGCGTCTGCGGCATGGGCCGGCCTACTGCGCTTGGCCATGCTTTGCATGGCGCGTTCTTTTGTGTTCTTTTGACTAACCAATCGACCTGCTGAAAATGGTAGGACACACTTCTGCTCGAATCCTGAGCGCTGTTTTTTGCTGAAATCTTCCTCTGGAGCGGGGAGACACACCTCTGGAAGAGAAACCCACCAGGTTCAAATTTCGAGAAGGCACCACGCACTGGTTTTGCCGTGTTTGCATGGTGCGCGCGCTTCCCCAAACTATATTGGCAACGACGCATGTTGGCACTTGAAGACTTGTGTCCGCTGCAGTCCAAAAGCATTCCCCAGGGTCATGCCAGGGTCAGGTTGCCTTGTCAGTTCTACTGGCATGCGGTTTTCCCTGGTCTTGTTTGTGTCCTTGGAGCCTGAGTGAACATGGGCTCGGAGGTTGAAAAGTGTGCTGAATTTGATCTGCGCTTTATGGCTTAGCTAACTTAGCGCTTTCAAGGGAGCCAACCACTACGAATGGATGTTGTTTCTTGTGCCACCGTGTGTTGGCTGGTGTAGCCGGGCCCTGAAGTTCTGCAGAAAGTACCCGACCTTTGAAGGCAAACACACCAAAGGAAAAGACAACTAGGGCCAGTGGGGGAAAGACCACAGCCCACGTTTCCAGATGTAAAATAGGTCTGAGTCTGGGAAAAGAAATCCGAGCTTCTCCCAGTAATTAAATCTGAAACGGGTCCGAAGGATCAAACGGACTGCGAGCACCTCAGCTCGGCAATATCTGTGATGTCAAGTTCAAACAATGCTCTTATTGCGGCCCAACGACACAAGGCCAGCCCGGGAACCCAAAGCACCTACATAGAAGAACCACCTTTGCCCCGATGCAAATCTGCTGACACGGAGATGCCATGCTGGGCGCAGCTCAATCAGAGCCTTTGCCGCACAGGTTCAAGCTGCACCCTCAGCCCAGGAACCATTGCATCATAAAGATTCCGATGGTTTTTCCGCGCGGTGCGGCCTGGGCATCGTCTTTCCGCGTGGCATGGCCACGGCACCGCCCCGGAATAAGCTAGGTCGCCGTGGTTAATCCGCGCGGCACGGCCCCTGAATACGTCGCGCAAAAAAAAAGAAGAGGAAACGTCGCGCAAGCGGGAGCGTCGGCAATACCACAAAAGCACGGCGTAGCCGCGTCAGCCCTGCATCATCGCTCTCTTGCGCATAGATTCAACTAACATCAGATGTTTTGGGGAAACAAAAGAAGGCGCGTGAACAAAGCAAGAGTTCGTGGAACACGATCCATCCAATTGTTGTTTCCGTCGAAACACCAAGCACCGTGAAGCGAGATGGAGCAATCGGTCTCCTGACCCGGATACCACGTGAGCTTGCAGCTGGTATCCAGCGGCACCCTTTGCAGCTGGTCCTGGATGATCAGCTCGCAAATCCTCGGGGCGCTTTGCAACCATCCGATCAAACGAGACGCGGTGCAGATATGCGTTGCAGGAATTTACTCAGCTTTGGCCCCAAAGCAACTCATATGTTTGGCCTGTATAGTTTATAGTGAACCTAAAAAACCTGAAATTGATTCTGAAAAACTATACAGAAGTAGTTTATAGGTTCACTAAACACTATAGTTTATAGGAGAAGTAGTGCTTTTTGTGAGAAGCTTCGTGTGTACCTTCCTGACCACTCAACCCGTCTCAGGCCACTTGGCGGACTCCCGGCAAGCTGTCACCGCGGTCACGTCGCGAAACGAACAGGTTACCCGTAACACAGCCCCCACGAAATGCTACATGCCCGTATCTTCATTTGAGCAAACAAAAGTGCGCACAACGGAAAAGTGTGCGCAAACGAAGAGATATATATATATACCCTTGTGGGGAAGATGTCCTGGCACTCCTGTTGAAGTCAGGTTCCTTTGTGTTTCCGGAACGTGCAAATTGCCCTTCTCACTGGGCGATTTGGGAACTACAGTGGACGGAATCCGTTCGCGAAATCCGCTTTGACACCGTGGTTGAAACCGTTTGTAGGTACAGAAGAATCGACTCATTCCAGCGTTTCTTAGGTGGAGGATTTCGAAACCATGTTGGGCACGGGAAGCTCCAGGCTCAGCCCTGGAAAGAGTGCTGGGGGTTCACGAAGAGCAGTGGGTCTACCCCAAAATTGGGAAACCGGCTTGAATGGTGAGTGACGGGAAGGAAGCCATACCAGTCTTTGCGGCTCCGATCGATTTTTTCTTCACCCCAGTGTTGTTTGAACTCTGCGGGGCGCATGGCGTTGATTTCCTCGCAGTGGTCGTCGATCTCCACCCGGATGGCAGCTGCATCTTGGTTGCTGGTGCAACCAGCGTTCCGAACCTGAGCTGGAACATCTGCAGGGTCCCTCGTCGCAGCAACATTTATTCAACCGCGGACTTATCCGGAGGACCGGAGGCATCAGGGCTTCCCTTCCAGCAAGGAACTGATCGACGTTAACGGATCCTCTAGGCTCCTCCAGCTTCACCCGAAGTCTTCCCCACAGAGCCCAACCCCCCCCCGACTTTTTTTCAGGAGAATCGAATCCCCGAGTATCGCGGAACTGGGCTGCCCGTTTTCTGATCCCCCGCTGAAAGCGACTAACTGTTAGCGGGTGAAATGGAATCCGAAATCCAAGCACTAAACCAACTAAAAGCCTACAGTAGGCGAAGCGGGTGAAATGGAAATCCGACCACGTCAACTAGGCGAAGGAACCGGACGGCTGGGGGCCACTAAGTTTAAACAACAGAAACAGACACGTGGCCCTCTCGCCCTCTCATTCGCGTGGGACCTGAATGGTCTGGGAGCCGCCCACGAGTGATTCGACCAAGTTTCGAGTGATCCACCCCCAGTCATAGGTGTCCTTTTAGGGCAAATAGATGGCCCTGGTAGATGATTAAGCGACCCGGTAAACCAGGAATCGCCGTCGATTCTTTGTTTTTTTTGCAAAACAACCAAAAAGGACGCCTATGCCCCTGATTCATCCGAAGTGTTCCCAAAGACTAACCCCCCATTTTGCTTTTTCATCAGAATCGAATCCCCGAGTATCACCTATAAGTGGTTGGACCAATTCGAGTGCTAACCACCCCCCCCCCCCAACTTTTTTCATCAGAATCGAAACTCCGAGTATCACCTCTGAGTGGTTGGACCGATTCGTGTGCTAACCCCCCCCCCCCCCCCCAACTTTTTTCATCAGAATCAAATCTTCGAGTATCACCTATAGGTGGTTGGACCAAAACCCCGTGTGCTCCACCACCACCCCCAGTGCTCTCTCACTCCGCGGAACATCCAGGGCCTGCTGCATGCTCTTGGTGGCCTTGGCTGTGGTCTTCTTCGCCGTCTTAGCCCAGCGCTCATAGCGCTGGTGGTAAAACCCCGCGGCGATGATGTCCATGTCCTCAGACGCTCCAAAAGGACCCGGAAAATGGATCCGGAAACAGGACCCGGAAAAAGGACCCATGTGTCCTAGTGGAAATTGGCGACATGGGAGCTTTGCTTTCTGCTCCGCTAAAAGTGAATAACTTTTAGTGGTTGAATGGAAAACCCATTAGTTGTCCAAAAGTTAAAGTCCGAACATCCAAGCAAAATGCTCCAAAGCTCAGACTCTCCAAAGGGACCTGGAAACAGGCGAAGCTTCTCGGATCCCCGGCGGAAAGCTGAACTTTGGGCGGCGTGTTCAAATGGAAACTACCACTCAACCAATGAAAAACCACCAAAAACCTAAGGAACCGGATGGCTAAGAACCGCCAAGTCCTAGGACTCTAAAGATGGAACCAAAGAGGAAAGCCAAAATGGTAGTCATTTGAATGTACACCTGGACCCTCAAGAAGGAACCTGTTTTGCTTACGTTTATTTTGCTTATTTTGCGAAATGAGCGGAATGTCCGAAAAATCTACGCAGAAACTGCCACTGGCATGTTCCGCAGCCAGTTCTGTTGAGGCCTGATCTTACATCTACCAGCGTTTCTCGAACGGGCACCTTCTAAAGTAGGAGTGATTCGGACGCGTAGGTGTCCATGACAGGGTGAGGGATGCGCCACAACTGCATGACAGGGACGGCCGCTCTCAAACAAAACACAAATGGTGAACCCAGAGCCATGTAAGGACGGAAAAGGCGGAATTCTGCACCCATCTATGGCAAGGGGAGTGTCCCTTACTAACCTTCATCTCCGTAAAAAATGGGGTCATTACCCAAAATTAAGGGCCCATTCTTTTAAGAGTCATGAAGACGCGAGGTACCCGAAGCGGGTTTTGAGGACGTGGCTAAGACTTGCGTTTTTCTGGGGGTTGATTCCTCTTCTTTTCAACCATCGTTCTTTTCAAAAACCGGATCCGTTTTTTCTGGGATTTCGGAGGTTTTCTAGAAAGATTCGGATCCCTGGACAGAATGGAAATGGAAGGTACCCCTAGTGTGTATTCATTGCTCAGATGCCCAGTGGTCATGGGAAAAACAGGGCATCCTGGTTGGTTGAGTTTAAAGGGAAACTTCCCCTTGGGAAGTTCCCCTTGGGAAAGAATGGACGTACCGAAGGTACCGAAGGTCCGAAGGTACCCCATCGAGTTTTCATCTTTTTCCGAGGCGCCGCGGCGGCCGACTCCATGGCATCGTCGATGGCGCGCTCCCGGCGCCGCGCGGCGATGGCGCGGCGGATGGCGCGCTGTGCCTGGCACGCCGGGCTGGAAATGCGGAAGTCTCGGGTGAGGATTTTTGTTAGGCGACGAAGCCTGGAAGCTGTAGATTTTTGAGCAAACAGCTTAACTTGTTGCAGGTCAAATGGACATGGGGTAAAGATCCAACCCAAATAGCTATAAAGAAACACAGTTGCCATAATTGGACAGATCAGGGTATCTCAGAAATCACTCCTACTGTTATTTCTGGCCAAGGATATTGCAAGGAAATCCATCCCAGTCCCATCCTCATCTCCCTTGGCTTTGGATTTCGACCTTATTTCGTTCCTATCTTTTCCAGGAAGGATATTGCAAGATCCGAGTTCCATCCTCATGCCTCAACAGGCTTTGAACTTGGACATTATGCTGTGCCTATCTTTCAACTGGGCTGCCCGTGTTCTGATCCCCTGCAAACAGTCTAACTTTTAGTGGGTTAAATGGAAACTACCACTAAACACTAAAAGGCTAAAAAGCTAAGGGGATGGCTGGGAGCCACCAAGTCAAGGATTTCCAGAAGTGGCTTATCCTGGAGCGGTAATATAGGGGCCTAAACGACTAGAAAGGTATCCCGTACAACAGGGGGTTTGGGTTCTGGTGTCCGGGCTGACCTTTTGTGGGAAAAGATTGGGCGGCCAAATCAAAACGGGTCGAGATTGAATTCAGAGTTTGTCGTGTTCTTTTCAGTGTTTGTGTGTTGGACTTTTGGTGGAAACAGGCTATACAACAAATACTTCTGTTTTGCGCGAGCATCGATTTAACATCCCGGGCATCGATTTAACATCCCGGGCATCGATTTAACATCCCTGGCATCATTCAATCCTCAGCATCGCCAGCGGGCTTTGGTTTACAGCTTGGGCGTTCTAGGGATTCGTTAACTAGGTCCTCCAGATTTGAGAGGTTAGAACAAGGTTACCAACTTTTTTCTTCTGTAGTCTATTTTAGTAGGGGAACCCTCCCCCAAAAACGGGGAGAGAAGGGCCGTACTGGGGGACCTAATTTAAGGTGGGTTCAGGGTTGGATGTAGGTTGGTAAAGGCTTGGTTTGCTTGGCTGCGCCTCGGGGAAAGTTGGGACTAGGAATGGGTGGGTTTAGGGTTGGTATTGGCTTTGCTTGGGGCTGGTTTGGGGCTTGTTTGGGGCTGGCTGAATTGGTTTAGGGCTGGTCTGGGTCTAGGACGGTTTAGGGAGTGTAACGTTTCTATGCTGATTAATTAAGATGGGTTTTGGCGGGTCTAAACTTGGACGTAGCACGGGTTTAGGGTTGGTTCAGTTTTTTCTCAGTGTGGGTTCAGGGTGAGCTAGGGTTGGTATGGGCTTTGTCGAGGGTTTGTTTAGGGTGGGTTTAGAGCTGGTTTGCCTTGGGGATTCAGGGTTGGCTTAGAGTTGGCTTAGGGATAGTTTATTGCTGGTTCAGAATAGGTCAAGGGTGGGTTTAGGGTTGGTTGGTGCGGGTTGAAGGTTTCTTTCGGGTGGGGGGGAAGGGTGGGTTTAGGTTTGGTTCAAGGATGCGGTCGAGAGTTGGTTTGGGCTGCAAAACACCTGGGCGTTGCTGAGTTTGCCCAGCACCTCAGGTCTTGACCACCAAAAACCGCAGCCAAGAAAGCTGGACCAAGAAACAAAACACACTGGACTTCTCAAAAAAAAATACAACCACTCCTGAAACAAGCAAATTTGGCCCTCCCCCCAAAAAAAAACACGCGAACCAGGACCCCCAATGGCTGGCGAAAAAACTCTCTGGAATGACCTCCTCCAATGGCTGTTTTGGGGTTTGCCAGCCATTGGGATTGGGGGGTCCTGGACCATGGTTTTAAAGTACCTCACCTATTCTATTGGTTTACGCACTGTATTACCCACATGTCAGGGTGAACAAAAAGAGACAAAAGAAGAAAACAACAAGAACGTGTTTTTTTCTTGAATAAAAAGGAACAAAAGAAGACAACAACAAGAACGTGTTCTTTCTTGAATAAAAAGGGACAAAAGAAGAAAAACACAAGAACGTGTTTTTTCTTGAATAAAAAGGGGCAAAAGAAGAAAAACAACGAACGCCTGTTTTTTTTCTTCTCCCCCACCTGGCCGGAGGCATGGGTGTTGGTGGCGAAGTGCTCCGGCGCCCCCACCACCGCCACGGGCACGCGCAAGGTCCGGGCGCAGTGGGCCTCGAAGACGCACCTCGCGACGGAGCCAGGGCTGGAAAGACGAAGCACAGAGGGGAGTCCAACCACCAGGAGCCTTAAAAACTCGATGTTTTGTTGAATCTTCTTTTTTTCCTTGTTTCTTTCTGGAAACACGATCTTTTCTGAAAATCGAGAAAAACATGATGTTTTAGTCAGACGCCATTTTTACAGTTTCTTGAAGCCCTAGGTACTGCGGATTCCAACTCATGATTAGAGTGGGGACCAGTTTAGAATGTATATGCTTCATTTTGAGTCAGAGGTAAAATGTCAAATGTATCCTAAGTCTACCCCAGAAATACCGTGGATGGACGAAATCCATTTTCGCCCCCTTTTGAAACCATGGTTGAAACCGTTTTTGGTTGGTATTGACAGGGGAATCGACTCATTCTAAGGGGTTCTTAGGTGGTGCGAAATGGATTTCGTCCACCCACGGTATCACAGCGGCCCGCCCTTGATCTTGTGGCGGTGGTCCTGTTGATCCTATTGGCCTAAAAGGGGCTAAGGATCCTCTCGTAGCTAGAGGTCCATGAAGGGGTGTAACCTTTTTCAACATCTGCCCTGAATTGCCCTGTCCACATGGAACCCAACATCCAGAAGAAGACTATGTTCAATATGTTCCGAAAAAATGGCCCTCTTGGGGGGTTCCATGTTTGTGAACAGCGGGGTTCCCCCAGTTTTCAGGAGTGTGCGACCGCCCCTTGCCACAACACCCCTGCGCACGCAAGGACGCTCACAAGTTGACCCGCGCGCCCCTTCGCCAGCCCTTTCGCAACCCACGAGCAATTGCGTTCGTGCACTGCGCTCTAGGCTGGTGGCGAGGCCAGATATGTGTCGGCTTGATTTGAGACCCAACCAAGGGCTTAGGCTCAGGGATAGCCTCTCCCTCCCACACTAATTAGAGATATCAGCCGGATGACAAGAGGGCTGTTGGGCCTATGGAACACCATCAATCTTCCCCTCACCAACTGAAAAAAACGTTTAAACAAAAGAAGAAGTATTGAAATCCCGCTGACGTGAGCAATCGAACATTCAACCCCGAGGATATGGGCCCCCTAACTTGCAAGCATCTTTTTTGATCTCTCAAGACTGCTTTGCCTGGAAAGGCTCTGATTTTGGGCCCAGTGAGAGGGACACATTGTGCAACAATTCGAGGAAGACACTCCTGCTCATGGCTCATGACATCAAAGTAAAACTCCGCGAAAGGCGCTCAATTCTTGGGGCCCCTCCCCTCCCCTCCCCTCCCCTCCCCCCCTCCCCTCCCCTCCCCTCCCCTCCCCTCCCCTCCCCTTCTAAATATAGCCATTCGAATCCCAAGGCCCCCTCAAACACGACCTACGCCCAACGAGGCGCCAAAGCCGTGAATGGATGGGGACATTGCAGTTCGCCACCATGAGCATCTGCCTGCGCGCATGGAAAAAGCAAAGGGGAAAAAAAGGAAGAAAACAAAACACTTTTCTAGGCACCTTCCCCATTCTTTCCAGGGATCCTTCTTTTCCGGAAACCACCCAAAAGAACGATGGTTGAAAAGAATGGAAAAGGACTCAACCCCTAGAACTTCACTCACTGGCCAGGAAACCCACCAAGGGCTGGAAAACAACCCCAAAACAGCCATTCTGAGGTCATTCCAGAGACCATTGCCAGCCATTGGGGGTCCTAGCATTCTGTGTTGCTTGTTTTATGAGCGGAAGCCCGAAGGGAAATCGAAGCCCACTGAGCGGGTTCCCTGTACTCCGAGGGTTTTGCCCAGGAATGCACCCGAGAGATTACAGCGTTCGGAAAAATATCCGAAGCTTGGTGTACGAAAACCTGTCGTTTCATACATGAGTGTGGGTCAATATTAAACCACCAGGGGACCGCAAATTTTAGCCATGTTTCCATTTATCAGGGTTCCATTTTGGGGTGACCCTATTTTTGACCCACAGCCATATTCTACAGGCATGCGTGTGACACACAAACCCGAGACATCTTGACCCCGAACATCTGGCCGGTCCCCGAGACTCGGACGATTTTGACAGTTCACGACCCATGCCGCGAGAAGGCCCTGGATCTGTTGCAACCTTCCGATCAGCATAAACCATTATTTGAAGTGGTGTGCTTGGATGTTCGATAGTCCCAAACGTGGCGGCGTGCCCAAACATGGCGTGGAACCAGGTCACCCCCCCTTTTGGATGTGCGCCAATCTGTTTTGAGGGGAACGAGAGGCAAAGGAACCAATGGTTGGGGTAGCTGCGCTTTTGCTCACGCGCATTTACAAAGGGCTGTCAACATAGGACTTCCGAATTGAGGACTTGAGTTTTCAGGAAATCAAATGGCACCAAATAGATGTTAACGGAAGACCACTTGCACACATTCCCAAATCTTCCCTAAGACTAAGCCCCAAACTCTAAAACCTGAGCCTCCGGAGATACAAGCTGGATGTAGTGGCCTTGCTCAGAATCCCAACCCATATAACATGATTTACTAGATTCTTGAGTAGAGAGGATAGAAAAGGGTATCCCCTTTTTCTGTTTTGTCGATTTTAGTCGGGGAACCCTCCCCCAAAAAAGGGTAAAAGGGCACTACTGGGGGACCTAGTTTAGAAAGGAAACGAACGAGCAACGACCAGACAACCTGATTCGTAACCAAAGGAAACCTCACTGGAGCCCTGCCAGTAAGAATCTTGGCAAGTGACCGCCAGCATTTCCTGGAGGAATATGCGTTTCCAAACGGGCTGTTGGTGGTTCACACCCAAAAGACCAGCACTGAGTTCTCCCCTCGATCTTTTTGGATATCCCCTTCAATCCCACTTACATGCTTTTATCCCCTTCAATCCTATTTACAACATGGAGCTGCTCTTAGGTTACAACCAATCTGCCCCTTGAGAGAGATGCGTTTTGCAAAAACGAGACGAAAACGAGACGCGTCGAACGGCCAGTCCCCCGCCTGGGCCGGCAAAGCAGGACACGATAGAAGGGGGACGCAGTGGGTGTCTGGATCAAATGGCTCATGAGCTCCGGCAGGTTCTGGGGGTTGGCCAGCGCGCAAATGTAGGCACCTGCCACGTGGATATCCCGAAACACAGAGCCAAAAAGACGCGAACGCCCGGCTTGAACGAGGTTACACACACACACACACACGACGGAGGCTCGCCCAAACTCAACTTCGAACCTACGCCATCACTCAGCCCAAAACCAACCCTGACCCACTCAAGCCAATCCCGGACCAATCCAAAGCGCCCGTCCTGACTCAGCCGCAAACCAGCTTCAAGACCCAGCTTGAGGGGATGTTGCCAACCCTATGAACCACCGAGCGAGCGAGCCAGCAAGCAAGCAAGGAATGAAGAAAGCAAGCAAGCAAGCAAGCAAGCAAGCAAGCAAGCAAGCAAACAAGCAAGGAAGGAATAAGCAGGCAGGCAGGCAGGCAGGCAGGCAGGCAGGCAGGCAGGCAGGCAGGCAGGCAGGCAGGCAGGCAGGCAGGCAGGCAGGCAGGCAGGCAGGCAGGCAAGCAAGCAAAGCAGCCACCTAACCGACCACTTGACCACCCACTTGATCACCTTCCACTGCCAATTGCCAACGCAAACCCATAAAAGATGGTCCGAAGAATTGGAAAACAAGAAAGGCGAGCCAGAAGAGGCAAGACGGACCCAGCTAAAATGCTGAAATAAGGCTTCGAGCCTACCTTCGCTTCTGGGATCTTATGAACTGCGGGACTGCAATGATGCCCCCTACCCAACATAAGGACGAAGCATTGCTTGGTTGCTATTGACCCCTGTGCAAGAAGTTCATGGGCAATCCCACCTGTCTCAACCAAAAAGAGAAAGTCCAAAGATCCGTTATCAAATAGCCAATGAAACACCAGGTATTCAAGATTGGTGAGCTCACGGTGAGCTCTCTTTGTTTCCCCGGTTCCCAGAAAATTGAAGTACCCGAACCCTCAAAATTCCCCCAACAACGGGTTACAGCCCCGTTTTTTTTAATTCCCCTTTCTTTATGGGTAGCTCTTTCGGGTCCAGGTACGCCCTCAAATGAACAGCTACACAAAGATCCGTGACCAAATAGCCATGAAGACATGGAACACCATGTATATTAGTTCCATGTACTTCCCATTAAATCGAAGCACGCCCCAGAAAACTCTCGAGTTTTCCCTCCATTCGTCGCCCTTCGCTCCAACGACTGGCCGCCCGGCCGCCCGCGGCAATTTTTCCGCCTCGGCAGTTCGCCGGCCAGGCGCGCACCACGGTGCCGGTGAGCTCGAAGACGCCCTCGGCCCAGGCGTGGGAGATGAAGAGGTCACAGAGCAACCCCCGCGGGTTGCAGTGCAGGGCATAGCCTCGGACGGGGGAAACCCCGAACCCCGAACCCCGCCGGTTTTTGCTTTTATTTTTTCGTGGGCCGAGACCATCCATTCTTTTACCTTTTGTGTTTTTTTTTGGGGGGGGGAGGAGTTTTTTCCGGTTTTTCTGGGCCCCGCCTATTCTTTTACTGTATTATTGTTTTTTTTGGGGTGGGTGGGGAAGGGAGTGGGGGGGGGGGAAGGGGGGCTTTGGAAGTTTTCATGTTTTGATCTAAAGGAAGGGTGGGCACTTCGTGGGGATGTCGAAAAACCAAACATCTGGCCACCAGCTCTTACATGGGCTCAACGCTTCTCCTGTTGGTTTCCTTTATACAAAAAACGGGGTACCAACTACAAAAAAGGAACCCTGTGTTGCATCGTTTTGCTATGACGAAACTCAAGGGCAAAAGGTAGGGCCTTTTTTTGGGGGGCTGGTTCAGTCTGGCAATGCATTGCATGGTGTCCGGGCAAAGAGAGGCGCCCAAGATGTGAGGGTCCCGGATTTTGGCCGCCCAGGGGAAACTCCAAAAAAATCGCCAGAAGGCCAGAAGGCCAGAAGGCGCACCCTTGCCTTCCAAATTGTTTCATGACGGGAACAAGAACAAGAAGAAGCCGAATCAAACAATGCCGCCAAGGGCATAGATGGTTGACGTTGGAAGGGGAGCAAAAATCGAAAAATTGTTGCAGTTAAGTGGATTTGGGTTTCAACCACCAAGCCACAATAAGCAAAAATGGGAAAATGTGTCCCAACAACAACCATGCATAGAGCACCATGTTTCTGTTGATTCGATAAGGGCATTGACATCACCTTCATCCCTGGGAATCCCAGGTGTTCAAGCACATCAATAAGCACATTGAACGAGTTGATAGAAGCTCATGTCTCGGGCCGTTTAGGCAAATGAACGCACCACATGCAAACCACGTCCACGGGGCATTGATCAGACTCTCACTTTCTGAATGGATGGGCCAACAAACTGAGCCTTTTGTTTACCAACCAAGCTTGGCTTCTGAAAAAGTGACTAAAGTCCATGAAGTCAGGGAGTGGGGACCAGCCAAGTCGACAAGGCACGCCACCTGCCTTTTCCCCTGCACATCAACCAATTGTGGGAGAATCACTTGAGAAAAGACGCCATCCCGCACCACCTGACGGAAAGATCGCTGCATACCTGGATCCCCAAGTAGCCACTTTTTCCGGCCACGTTCCTTTCTGCAAGCGTACAGCAGAGAACAACGCGGCGACAATCTGAGATGCGCCAGGCGAAACGCACCGCCCACTTTCACCACACCTTCCGCGGTTGCCAAGACGAAGTGTTTCCCTTCAAAACCACAAAGGGTAGCCTCATAAAAACGACACACACGCAATTGGCCCCCCAAGAGTGGCCAATCTGAACCAGGACCCCCCATCTGAATCAAGACCCTCCAATGGCTGGCAAATACCCCAAAACAGCCATGAGGTCATTCCACAATTCCACAGACCAATTACCATTGGGGGGTCCTGGATTTTTTCCAACATCTACATGAGCCGGGTTGTGGGATCACTCGGGTTTATTCAACCACTTCTGTGATACAAAGGAATCTCCCCCTTGATATGGGTGAGAAGAAGACGAAGCCGAGAACACTTCAGGAGGCCTGTCCCAGCCCGAAAGCCCTACAGAATCCCTAAAAACAGCCCGGCCTTCGAGCACAGGGAACCACCTGGCCCCGAAAGAACCACCCAAAAAGGGGAAACCACCAACCATAACTTTGGGGTGGCTATACTAGGTCCTCCAGAAAGGTTCGAAAAAGGGTAACGATTCTTTTTGCTGTAGTCTACTTTTTACCGTAGGGGATTCCTCCAAACCAAAAAAGGGGTGACAAAGGGCACTACTGGGGGACCTAGTATAACACCCATGTTGAAGTTATGGACTTAATCAAAGCTGACGGAGGTGTCCTTTGAGTGGAAAGAGATGAACACCGGCCGAAAAGGGCGAACCTGGGCTTGTCAGTTTAATTGGACACCAAAAGGACATCGGCCATTCTTGGGGGGGCCATTTGGGTGTCTTCTTTCGAGGCCACCCCTTTGTTTTGAAGGGAAACGCCCCAAAAAACCGACACCCCCATTTCTGGCTTGCTTTCTGCTCCCCTGCAAAAAGCTTAACTTTTAGTGGTTCAATGGAAAGCCCACTAGTTGGCAAAAAGCTGAAGTCCTAACCATCAAGCGAAATGCACCAAACTGTTGACACAGGACTTCGAGCAGCTGAGGAAGGGGATGCCATCGGAGGGTGCCCGGGTGAAGGGCCGGATGAAGCCCTCGTTCACCTCCGGTCGATGGACTTTCGAGAAATCTGATCCCAGGCTCACGAGCTTTCTGGGGTTCACAAAGGAGACAACACGGCGCCCGCTGAAGCCACTGGGGTTTTGGGGTAATTCAAAATGTAAATGGGGGTTTTCAAGGTACATGCGGTTGATGTTGTGGGTTCATGTTGCATTGAATGGTGCGATGTTGCTTTGCAACATGTTGTGTCAAAAACAGTTTTAGAGTTTCACAATTTGAATGTGTTTTTCTGCGGCCCCCCCCTTGAAGAGCTGAGTGCAGAGCTACAGATGCTGAGGCAGCTGTCCTGGGGCGCTGCGCCTGTTGCAGCCTGGAGCAAGGTCTCCACCGCCCTGGCCTTGGCAGAGCGGATGTGATTCACAAAGCTGCGAGAGGCCCCGACCCTCCGCTGCGACCGCTTTGAGTCCGGGTTGGGGTCTCGTTGCGCTGGCCCCTTCTGTCCGTCGGGGCGCGGCTGTTTCTTGACCCGATGCTTGGCCATCGCCGCAGCTTGGGCCGCAACAGCTTCCACGTTGCCAAACTCAATGGAACCCACGAACGCGTAGTGCGATGACTCAGTCTCGCTCGCTTGCTTGCTCGCTCGCTCTCTCTCTCTCTCTCTCTCTCTCTCTCTCTCTCTCTCTCTCTCTCTCTCTCTCTCTCTCGCGCTGACTCACTCAACCACTCACTCGGTCACTCTCGCTCGCTCTCTCACTCTGTCTCTCTCTCTCTCTCTCTCTCTTTCTCTCTCTCTCTCACACCATCTACTCCATCTACTCCACTAATTCACTCATCCACCTCACCACCACCAATTCACTCCTCATCTACCTCGTCATGACTCCCTCACTGCCCCCACCACCACCAATCATCTGCAAGATTCACTCTGCCGCCTCCACTTTCTCTCCTCCTCCCTCCCTCCTCCCTCCCTCCCTCTCCCTCTCTCTCTCTCTCTCTCTCGCTTCTCTCTCTCTCGCTTCTCTTCTCTCTCTCTCTCTCTTTCTCTCTCTCACTGGCTCACTACCTACTCTCCAATCACCATCTACTCACTCAATTACTCATCTACTCACTACCTCATCTACTCACCTTTGCTCGCACTCTACGTCTTACTCCACCACCACCCACCAACACTCAATTCACCTTTCTCGCCTCTCACTCTCTCTCTCTCTCTGTCTCTTTCTCTTTCTTTCTACCGCCCTTCCTTCCTTTATTTTTTGCTCTCTCTCTCTCTCTCTCTCTCTCTCTCTCTCTCTCTCTCTCTCTCTCTCTCTCCCTCCCCTCTCGCTCTCACTCACTGCCTCACTCACTCACGCACTCATTCACTCCCTCCCTCCCTCCCTCCCTCCCTCACTCACTCGCTCGCTCACTCTCTCTCTCTCTCTCTCTCTCTCTCTCTCTCCCTCCCCTCTCGCTCTCACTCACTGCCTCACTCACTCACGCACTCACTCACTCACTCACTCCCTCACTCCTCACTCACTCACTCACTCACTCACTCACTCGCTCGCTCGCTCACTCGCTCACTCGCTCTCTCTCTCTCTCTCTCTCTCTCTCTCTCTCTCTCTCACTCCCTCACTCACCCTGAGGATCCGATATTGAAAAAATCAATCCCTGTATTGGTTCCAGGGGCTGATCAATCCCGATTGAATATTGATCTGGAAAGCATATCAGGCACAACAAAATAGATCAATATTATATTGATTATGATATTGATCCATATTGGTCTTTGATATTGATCTTGATATTGATCTTGATGTTGATCTTGATATTGATCTTGATAGTCTTGATGCCAGAGTGATGTGTAATATTGTTTCTGGTGCCACAGTGATGTTTAATATTACTTCGGTCTTGATGCCATAAATGTTTAATGGGTCATGCAGCGCAGCTAGCTGTTTTGGACCTTGATGGCAAAGTGAAACTGGTGAGACTGATAATGAAACCCACACAGGGTAGCTACTTCAGGTTTTCTTTCAAACCCTTGAAGGGAAGCTTTCTTTCAAGCTTGCTCACACCAAGTCATTGATTCTGAGCTGTAATGCCATGGTGTATTTAGTAATGAAGGATTCACTCAGCCTGCAAGATCTTGTGCCATGGGAACAAGAATGGCCCAGACTACTGATGTAACCCATGAAGCTTTCCCGTTTGTAAGTCCAATTGGTCGCAGGGTTTTGGTATTGGCACATGGAAGCCAGGTGCAAGAGGAAATGACATTTGGGTGTCAAAGTGAATTTCACTTCATCTTTGTAAAAAGATTGCAGCCACATATAGTGAACCATGCTTTTTCTCAAGCATTCAGAAGCTTCAGCCTTCCTGGCCATAAAAAAATCATCTTCAGAAATACTAGCATAGAACGTGGCCAGGTGGTGACATGCTTCAGCCATGTGGGCATAGGCTTCACAATCCGCGGCCTTCTTCCAGGCCACTAATGCCAATGCAGGGATGAAATGCCTGATTTCACCAGCATGCCCCTTGAGCTTGGCTGTTTTGTAAAAGGTTTTTCTTCATTTGCAAACATGGAGACCACCAGGTTGTTGAATTTTTCCCTGGTCTGCAATTCAGCATATGCATCCTTCAGCAATGCCCAGATTTTGGCTGTATTGCAAGCCTCTCCTGCTGGCCAAGCCCAAGCATGGAGAATGGAACCTGCCAGCCTTGCTGTGACTCCCAAATCCAAAGTGTGCAAGACATCCAAAGAAATTCGATACTCAGGCAATCCTTCTGGAATGGAAAACAACGGATGTGTGGTGCAAGGGCTTTCTTTCAAGCATTGCATGGTTTTCTTCTTCCAGCATGGATCTGGTGTGAAATCATAAGGGTTCTTCTTTGGATCTTTCTTGTCTGCATCGCAGAGCCAGCAGAAATTGTTTTTGTTCCAATGTGGGAAGCCTAAATGGTTTGCAAAGTACTCCAAATCTCCCAAGAAATTGAAAATCCAAAACTTGAATTTTTGTGGTGTGATAGGCTTTCTTGCAAGCCTTTGGAGCTTAGCAGGCAGCGGTTTGCCCTGCCAATCCACATGTGGATGCACCCCATGCCACAAAGCTGTAAAGCTCCATGCAATGACTGCATGGATCTCATTCCATGTCTGAGGTGCAGTAGCTGATTTTGGCCAAGCAGTGATCAAAAAAGAACTATCCCTGCAATGGCTAGGTGTTTCTTCCAGGCTTTCTTTCAAGCCTTGGGGTGCGAAGAGTGTAGCCCCCCAAGTGAATGTCAAAAGGCTGCCAGTGGAAAACTCGACTCCATCTCCATGCAGCCACAAAGGAATAGTGTTTTCTTTTTGGTTTTCTTTCAAACCTGCTTTCCAAAGCCTTGGGTCCTCAGGGCTTAACCCTTGCCAAAAACTGGTAAGTTTGGAGCAGCCAAACATGGCAGGGGCCAGGCTGGGGTAGCTCTCAAACATTTGATGGACTAGAAGATGGGGCAGGACGATGTGGCAAGAGGCCTTGGTGTTTGGCGCTTCCTCTTTGGAATCCAAGGCTCCTGGATGGAAATTGTGGGGCTTTCTTTCAAGCCTCCATACCTACAATCCTTTAGTTTGCTTTTCAACAACCGAAGCAAATCTCTGTGGATATTGTTCGGGTGTTGTCCAAAGGACCCCAACCCTGCCAACTCAGTGATGGTGGCACCCTCCAAACCATCTAAATGGGCAGCATGGGCAAGTTGTTGCAATTCGGTTGCACTCAATTTTCCCAAGGACCACAGATGCAATAACCTTTTCTGCAAATTTTGGCCTTCTTTCAGGCACTCAGCTTTTCTTTTCTTGTTTTCTTCATATGCAATCCTTTGTTTAATCCCAGGCATTGAGCTAGAAAAGGCTGCTGGCTGAATGGTTTCCCGAAAAAAATCAGAGTTTAACAGTCTTATTGGGAAAAAAACCCGGTGCAATCCCATTGCCCACTGCTAATTTTTCCCTTGGGGAGGCTGGCTGGTAAGGTGAAACTGCCCAAGAAAGAAAGCTATAGCTTTCTTGCAAGCTTTATGCAATCTCAAAATCTCTTGTATATTTGCTAGCCAGTAGTCAGGCTTGGGCTCAAAGGAAATTTGGGCAATGTCTGGGATGGTTTTCTTTCAAACCTTGTTTCCAAGCAGCAGCTTCTTTGCCTTTCTCAAAACTTGCGCTGCCTCGACCAATTTCTTTTTCAATTTTTCAAAATCAGAGTCCACTTGCAAGTCTTCCAGCTCCTCCCTCATGGTAGTCAGCTGGGCCATCTCATCTTTGCCCCAAGTTGTATCAGTAGCTTTCTTGCAAGCTTTTTTCAAGTCAGACAAAGTTTTGGTGATCAAGGTGAGCATCTTCTTGGCCTTGTTATTTTTTCCGTTCTAGCTGCATCCACCTTCTGTTCCCAAGTGTCGGTTTTCTTTTGCTTGCCTGCCTTTCTGGCTTCTCACTGCCTGCTTTGTTCTTGTTCGGTTCATTTTTGTCCTGTTTCTCTTTCTTGCTCACAAGGGCCTTGTTCTCCTTCTTGCTCACAAGGGCCTTGTCCTGTGCCCCTGTGAAAAGTGCTGGCTGGCTGCCTTCTTTCAGGCCTTGCAGGAAAAGTCTGGCAACAGTGGGGGCTGCATCCTCATCTGAGCCTTCTTCTTCTGTGTCAGACTGGGAAGATTGGCTGCTGGCTGATAATGCATCCTTCACTTGGAAACCCTTCTCAGGTCTTCTTTCAGACCACAGGTCTTCCCATTCCTGCTGGCTTCTTGGTGCTTCCAAAGCTTTCTTGCAAGCCTTGAGCTCTGACCCTTTCAAAGCCAATTCTTGCTCAGCTGCATTTTTTTTTTGCTCGGTGGTCAACATTGTGTGCTTTTTGACCAGCAAAAATTCAAAGAATTTCTTTGCAACCTTCTTGACTGGAATGAGGCCAGATTCCACCCTTTGAAGGGCTTCCTCCTTGCCAAACCAGTCTAGGATCTGTTTCCAGGGGACCCACTCAAACAATTCATTGTCTTGCTTGCTGCTAGAAGCTTCTGTGCTTTTTTTCAAGCATCCTTCTTCTGCTTTTCCAGTCCTCAAAAA